GAGAGGATGGCTAGGGAAAAGTCTTCAGTGGTGAGTCAAGGAAGAGAAAGAAAAAAAAAGAAAGAAAAGAAAAGAAAGGAATGCTCGGGGGAAGCAGGAGGCATCTTGAAAGCCAAAAAAAAAAAAAGAAAAGAAAGGAATGCTCGGGGGAAGCAGGAGGCATCTTGAAAGCCTGAGACAGCCTGGGTTATTGGAAAGGGCCCCATAGAGGGACATAGGGACAGCTCCCCTGCATCCCGTTTCTGTCCCCTCCCCCTCTAGGTTTTGCCAGTTTCAAGAGCCTCATTGACATGTAAACGAGGTACCCCTATAAAGGCAATGCAGTCTACTGTCTCTGCAGACACCACAAAATGGGCACTGAGCCCACATCGAGGGGCAGCCCCAGTGGTTCAGCCAGCAGCTTCCGAAAGGTCTGGTGTCCTGAAGGACATGGGATAAGAACCCCTGGGGCGGGAACCCCTGGGCTGGAGGGAGTGGAGCCCTGGAAAACTAAGGCCTTCCCTCTAAAAGCTACTGGCTGGCCCACAGATCTCCAAGCCTCTGATGGAGAAGAAGCGCCGTGCACGTATCAACATGTCCCTAGAACAGCTCAAGTCTCTTCTGGAGAGACACTACTCGCATCAGGTAAGACAGGAGAGAGAGGGGGCGATTGGTGCCGCCCTTCCCCAGTCTGCCTGTTAAGAGCACCTTATGGCTTGGCAGATACGGAAGCGGAAGTTGGAAAAGGCTGACATTCTGGAGCTGAGTGTCAAGTACATGAAAAGCCTTCAGAGTTCATCGCAAGGTAGTGAAGGGAGGGCTTGAGGACCGACAACGTGGCCCTGGGAGGGGCATGCGAGAGCTAGCCGTGAAGTCTTGGGGCTAAGCATGGCGCTGTTTGCCATGGGAAACTGAGGCAGGAGGATGGAGAGTTGGAGAACAGTCTGAGCTGTAAAGTGATAGCCTGGGGTGGGGTGGGCGATAGGTAGAGAGGAGAGCTGAAGTGAAGAGCGAAGCGAGGAGGGCCCACCACCTGGAGTGGACGTGGGGAAGGGCAGCTAAGGCCTGCCTGCCTGGCTGTGGCGTTGCAGCCTGTGTGTGAACTAGCTGCGCCCCACCCGGGAGACCATCTTCTCCCTTTTATTCTCCACATCTCTTCTCGACTATTCTCTCCTCCCCCTCCTTTCTCCAGGACTCTGGCCAGTACCCAGTGGGGTCGACTACCCGTCTGGCTTCCAAGGCTGCTTGCCCGGTGTGAGCCAGCGGCTTCGGCGCGGAGGGGCTAGCAGTGGCCTGCGCTGCCCCCTGGTGCTCGAGCGCAGGGCGGGCAGCACCACGGACAGCGCCAGCTCGCAGGCGCTCTCGGTTCTCAGCCCCTGCCTCCCGGCGGTCTGGGCTCCTCCTTCCGCTGCAGGCAGCTCCCAGGCCCCGCTGTCCTCACTCCCTCTCCCTAGGGGTCTCCCTGAGTCCTCTACCGGCGCTCCAGCGCCACAACCAGCGCCAAACTGCCAAACAGAGGAAAGCGCCAGACCCGGGCTTGGGTTGTGGAGGCCCTGGTGAGGCCTAGGCAAAGATTCAGACTCAAGACCCTTCCCCCACTCCCATCACCCACGGTCTAGTCTGGAGACACAGAAACTATTTTGGGCGCATCCACGGTGACTGCAGGGACCCTTTTAATCGGTGGCCTGGTGGGGCTGCGGGAAAATCCACGCAGCCACTTCTGGATGGGATCTGCCCATCTACCAGCTCCCCTCCTCCCACCTCTAGCGGAGCTAAGAGGGGACATGTGGGCTGTGTCCCTTTCCCAGGGACCCAGGGCTGGCAGCCCGCCCCTGCCCCCCTCTCCACGGTTGCGTCACGGTGGGAAGGTCGCGGTCGCCAGCGGCGCAGAGCGGACCCCTCGCAGCGAGGAGAATCGCTGCCCCGCCCTGGTCCATTCAACCGGCCTGGGGAGCTCTGTTCCCACGGGCACAAAGCGCGCCGGGCCCCGCCCTGCCCCGGGAGCGAGAGAGCGAGGGGTTCCCATCCCATCCCATCCCCACCCAAGACCCTCTCCCCACCCGCCCGGTCTGCGCGGGGCCACCCTGCGGGCGCGTTCCCCAAGACCCTCCGCAGATGCCCACGGCTGTGGGGCGCTGGCGCAGAGCACCGGCTCCGCCTCTAAGGAGCATGGAGAGCTCGGACACCGCGTCTCGCCACCATCTAGAGTCCCGGGCCCCACCCATCGGTGCGTGGCGCTGCCAGCGCGAACCTCGGCCTTCTGCAAAGCCGGGTACCCGAGACCACACAGTGCCTCCGGAGCCCCAGACTCGGAGAACTCTGCGCCTGTTACCATGCGCCTGCGACTAGGAGCGGGAGAGATCAGCTTTTCACTCCCCGGCTCCTGTCGTGGGCCAGCCTGGGGTGCGGCACGTCAGAATTCCTAGCACCTCCTGGTACCAATATGCAAATCTGAATAAGACTGGGTGTGAGCACACCACGAATACCAAATACCTTAGGGTAATATCAAGTTTGGGGTGGCTCTTGCCCTGCGGATAAACACGCTCTGGTCTACTCAGGATTCTCCGCAGTCTCTCCCACACTAACCCACCCCACACAGCGGGCTATCTAGAGCAAGGACCAGTACAGAGCCCAGCCAGCGCTGGCCATCTCAGGAGGCCTCTGGTCAGCTAGCTGGGTGGGAGAAAAGCCAGGACTTTTTCCTCCTCTACCGCTAGGTGGCGGCCTCTCAGCGAGGACCCGGAGATTCCACTGGAATCTTGAGTGAGGTCTCAAAGGGCACACCCAGTCCTAGATGTACTGAGTCAATAAATCCTGGCCCCAACCACAGGTGCCAGGTTGCCACCCGTGACAGAGGACATTTTCTCTGGCCAGTGGGCTTTGTTGTGGGCCCAGGTCTGTCTCCCTGGCCAGATGGGACTGCAGCACCTGCTTGGAGGGACGGCAAGTACACTGGCCTGGACTTCAGACTCTAGACGGAGAGAGGTTTGCGGAGTAGCTGGGTAGCCCTGGTGAAAACAGGTTTCTGCAAACCAGCCTCAGAAGGCTGTGTGCAAACCATGAGGAAGTTTTTTTATTGGGTCCTGTACAGAAGAGAAATGCTGTTTTTCAAAAGTCTACAAACGAATCCCTGACTCTGGGCTGGGCGGTGTTATGTGGGTAGCGCTCTTACCAGTAACCCAAGGCCAAGGTCCTTGCAAGCATCAGCAAACAGGGAGCCTGAACCAGCAGTGGGAAAGAGTCCTAGGCGTCTAGGGTCCTGTGCTTGGGGTTTGCCCTTAAAGTTCTGTAAAAAGTAGGAGTGACTTAAGAGGACTATGTGTCCATCACAAGTATTGCCATTGAATACAAAACTGTGAAAACCCAAGGTGATAAACTGACGATTTGAGGCTAGTGAGGGAGACAGTGGATAGCATGACATCAGTCCCTGAAGGCACAGCAGCGGAGAGCCAGAGGAAGCTGCTCCCGTGTCCAAAGATGGACGGCCTGCAGTCCCCTGCTTCACTCATCTGGGGTGGTTCATCGTTCACTTACCCCACAGCCAGGCACTTCAGGGACCTCTGAGGCCTAGGATAGAGCAGCCACCCACCCCACACCCAGCTGGACTTGGAACTCTGTCTGGAGAGGGAGAGGAGATGGGCCTGGCCATTGGGCAAGGAGACCGGGGCTCTGTGCTGGCCTCGAGACCATCTCCAGGTCCCAACACAGCGGCTCTGCCGTACCCTGGCAGCGGTACCCACCCCCAGCCTGGGTATCTCCTGGGAAGAGCTATGTCCCTGGTGCAGCCCAAGCCCAGAGAGAGGTCTGCCCAGGAGACAGCCAAGCCCTCCTTTGCAGTGAAGGAGGGGTGCAGGGCTTTGTCTGTGTGGGTGAGAGGCAAAGCTGGAGATGGGCACTGAGACAGCGGAGTCCGCTTCCATTGCTTTAGCTCCCCGCACCAGGTACCCACAGCCTCCACGGCAGGACCACAGAGGTGGCCGACATAGCAGGAGACAGGCAATGTGGTGGAGTCTCCAGCATGGGGACACCAGTGGGGGTCAAGGTGGCTGTTATACCCATGGTGTTGTGCTTTAGCTGAGGTGAGTCTCCAAGAGGGCAAGGGTCATTGAGACGGGGAGGCCTCAGATCTGGGGGTCATGTGTTGAAGGCTGACCCTCACAAAGAGCCCTAGGCTACCTCTCACACCTGGTCCATTCCAGGACGGGGGTGGGGGGTTGTCTTCAAACAGCCCTGAGAGATGTGTCATGATCATCCACTCATCAGAGACAGGGAAACTGAGGCAGGTCACAGGGTAGCCTGCTCAGTAGACCTTGTTTGGGTTCTGAAGCCCTCTGTGCTTACAGGCGCTCTACACGCCACACCCTAGAGCTGAGGCAGGTGCCGTGCGAGTAAAGACGAGTGCTGTCCAGTAGCTTCTGGCCTAAGCTTTTCCGAGAAGGGACTTTTGTCCTTTCTCATGGTGGTCGGATCTCAGGGTCCCCTGTACACCCCAGCTTAGCCTCAGAGGGCTGGGGGAGATGTACTAAACGTGCAGGTGCCACTCACTACAAAGGCACAGCCTGTCCCTTCCTGGGAGATGCCGTCCCCAGCAGCAGGTCGGTGTCCTGTGCAGCCATTGCCCCTCCAGGTGATGTCAGAAGGAAGGAACCATAAGAGGGGCGCAGAGTCCACCATCCATCCACCCCTAGGGCGGGTGGCACTTGTCCACGCGCCTAACACACGCGGTGGCATCTTTGGTGCTGTGCCTGTCCCATCTGTATGGCGTCTCTGGGAAGGACCCGGAGGGCCGGCCCTAGGACGCAGAGCCCAGCGAGTCCGAGTGCAGCGTGACATAGCCCGAGGACCCGGAAGGCGAGCTCAGAAAGCTGCTGGTGCTGCCGCCGCCCGCCGCGTGCAAGCCTCCGGGCTCGCCCCACGACGCGCTCAGGCCGGTCTGCAGGGGCCCCG